GGTAAGCAGAACCACTGCATTACAATTTGCTCTTTTCTGTTGTGAACTATTGGAGCTAACACAAATCACAAATGGGCTGCCAATGAGCTGCTGCTGAGATGTTTGTCATTCCCAGGACAGCTGACAGCTGTAGCCCTAAGGATGGTGGCACTGCTGTGGCCATTTAAACCTCAGTATTTGACTACAGACTGGAACAAGGATGTAGTATCTGCCTTGAATCTAATGAGGATGCATAGAGTTTGTACAGAGGAAGCAATATTGCTATTGGGTTTACTCAGCCTTCAAGCAGTTACCAAAACTGTGGCCACTATGTGGCTGTTGGATCATCTGTAGGAAACGAGTTTGGTGTTTGAGTTCAGTTTCCAGAGGGAAGTTTGTATTTCACAAAACATGCAGCTAATTAACAGCTGCTGGGCTCCCTGTTGGAGAGCTGGGAAGAGGCCAAAGATTAAATGCTTTTCAAAGATGAATTCACCTTTTTATCCACACTGGTTAGGGGAGGAGGGTGACATGGAAGAAGTGCATGATTTTGCCCAAGCTGTTCTGTTCCTGCCTGCTCAATATGTCAGAAGGATTCCATGGAGAGTGCAAGGTAGCCATGGTACAGTGCTGCCAGCTCTCCTTGTCTGGGGTAGTTGAGATGCAGAGCTCCTGGATCCGTGTGAGCTGCCTCTGTGCCAGCAATGAGTGGCAGATAATAAGTTCTGCTTGATCTGAGCTGACCTTCCACAGAGCCCTGCAGGTTTCAGCACAGTGCTCTCCCTGGTTCACGTTTCTGGGCATATGGTGCTGAGACATGTCTGCTGGGCCAATTTCCTGGGGTTCTGCTTTGGAACAAAGGTAGGTGAAACATTTCCATTGAGGAAATGTCCCTCAAAAAAATTAGAGACCTGTTTGAATGGGGATGTGTGTGAGCTAATGAATTGCGTTACACTTGAGCTGGCTGTGTGCCTGGGCGCTGAAAGCAAAGAGGTGAGTGCACGCATACCTGTTGCTTGTAACAGGAAGGATTTTTTTTTTGCCTTTGTAGTACTCAGAACATGTATACTCAGGCCCCTCCTGGCCCCTCCTTGGTGCATGGACATACAAAGCAGAGCACACCCACTCCTATGTCTGTTCTCACTTACTAAGTGAGAGGGAAGTTGTGCCTGGGCTGGCATTGTGTCTGCATCCATGCTGTAGTTTCTTCACAACCTGGATAAACCATCTGAATAAAAAATAAAAATAATTAAAGGGGAAAAAAACAAAACCAAAACCAACCTCCAACAAATTGTTTGTATAGCTCTTGCCTGAATAAAACAATCTTTCTTTTGAGCGTGGGTTCATCTTAAAGCTGTATGCAACTGGTGCCTTTTAAAAAAGCAGAAGATAAACTCAATGGATGAATGAAGAAAAGCTGACAGTTATCAGGAACAGAATGTGCTCCCCTGAAACACTGATCTTGGGTTCTTTGTTCTTCAGTGTTTTTGATGCAAGTAGGTCCCAGTCATGAGCTCTCTCTCTCTTCCTTAAGAGTATGACTACCCTAGAGGAACTCACTGCTTTGGCTGACAGCTCTTCCCACTGCTGTCCCACCCCAGCAGAGGGGTTCCGTGGCCGAGGTGCAGTGCAGCAGGTCTGCTGCTTAGTACATTCGCTGCTAATTCAGATAATGGTTTAGAATAAGTTGCTTACAACTTCAGCACCAATGTATACAACATCAAAACTGGTTTGGTAGTCTTTCTGCCAATGTTCTGTAGAACAGTTTGAATCTGCCCAGAAGCTACTGCACAAAGACATAATGTGTCAGTTAATGCCTAGACCATGGGGAATACCAATCATGTTGTGCATATGTGGTGCAGTCTCAATGGATCAGGTCTTGAAGACTTGGCCATTCTTCTGCCCTTGCAAAACTTGCTTACAGTCCTTGACAGATCCCTATTCAGCCAGTGGCTGTGCACAAATCCTGCTACTTGAAACAGAAAGGAATTTTTCTTTGTAGCATTTGTAACATGTACTTACGCCTATTATTATCACTCAATACACAGGTTTATAAGGCAGACTGTGCTCATCACCCTTTCAGTTTTTCAACTGAAGAAAGCATGCCCCATGGACTAATTTCATGTGATGCACCTGCTTGCCTGGTGCCTGATTTTCTTTAGTCTACTATCTGTGATAATAGTCTTTGCAGTGATTTCAAGTGACCCTCCACCTTGTCCCAGCTGCGATAAAAGATGTTGCCAGTGGTTCCCTGTGGTAGGTATCTTCATTATCTTGTGCAAGGTTGCAGGTCAGCCAACAGCAGCATCTGCTTCAAACCTAGCCTAAAGAAGAAGGTCTTGTCCTTCCGTCCTGGTGCCAGTGAGCAAGGTGCCAAATGTAAGTGCCCACCTCAGCAGCAGTGTAGTGTCCCTCCTGTAGTAGACTTCCAGCTCAATCAAAAAGATTGAGTGCTTCCACCCTGCCCAGGCCATTAGCTTTTCCTGTTAGTGCTTGTCACTCCTGTTCCCAGCTTCCAATGAGGTTGCTAGGCTAGACAAGCTGGTACTGAGGGCATCTGTATCACCTTCATTCCTGCTGTGAGTCAACACTTGGCAGTGAAGTACTTTGATCTTTATTGAGCTTCATTCAGCGGTTTTGACTGATAACACTATGATTTGTGCAACTTCCAAGCCTCCTGGGTCCCATATGTTGGAGTGTGGGGATTGCTGAAGAGATGTCTCCTATTTGGCCATTTATAGTCTGTACTGAGTGACCTATATTGTTGTTTGTTTTGTTTGTGTTTTCTCACTTGAATGGTGGAAATGGGGAGCATCCTCATCCTGAATGTTGCTGTATCCAGCCCTAAAGTAGTTGTATTTCATTCCCGAGCATTCACTGTGGAGGCATTACTACTTAGCTAGAAAGATGAGGAAAAAATAGAGTGCATTAGTCAACTGTACTCCTTTAATGTGTTTTTTAATCTAGTGTAATGGATGGCCTCCAGGTACTGTGGGGTGTTAACTTGTGTGTAGTAGAGCAAACGTGGCATAAGAAGAGCCTGGTAAATGGGAGGCTGCAGCCATTGACATGCAATCCTTTGATCTGTTTTCCAAGAGTGTGGGAAAACCACCACTGTCCAGTAAAAATCAATGTTTGAGAGAGGCCAAGGAGAAGACTGTGGCATGGTGCCATTAGAGGTCACAACAACCTACTGCTGTTGCAGCAGGCTTAGGGAAATCACATTCCTGTTGGAGAGGGAGCTGGCTGTCCGTGTGTCAAAAGAAAGTCTTCAAACGAAGGAAAATTACGAATTGCCTCTTTCCTTACTCCACTCCAAAATATGATCTTCTGAATGTAATCACAGTTTCCAGCTTGTAATGGTTGGCAGGAGCTGTCAGCAAATGTTGTTTAAAAAACTTTGCCAAATCTTAAAGTAATCATCAGAGTTTTCTGTTTATCACCTTTGTTCGTCTGCCTTGCTTGTCTCACCAGCTTCTTGTCAGGTTCAGAGCTGTTTGACACATGGGCTGCCTCAAGCTTGTGTGGTCATCCCACACCCTCATCCTGTAGTTTCTGCAGAGGGATGTAGTAGATAAGAACAGAACTCTTTATTTGAAAGGAACTTCTCTTAAGTGTGCTGATTGCAGTAAGTAGTGTCTATCAGGAAAACTATTTAAGTTCACTGTAAACAATCACTTGATGTCAGTCATCTTAATGTTCCTGTGTCATTTTTAATCTTTTGTAAAGAAATTAGACTTATTTATTCCTTTTGACTGGTTGTTTTCTATGAACTTTTTACCTAGTTGATCAATATGTTTAAGGGAAGGTTGCGATAGATACTTACAGTCTCCCAAGGAAAGTGGAAGAGGACTAATTGTTCACAGTCTTTTCCACTATAAATGCTGCTCAGAGAAGCCATATGCAATCAGGAAAGGGAAGTGACTGAATGTCCATATGAGGATCCAGGAGGGTTCTGAGCTTATGGAATAGAAATGACTGAGGGTAGCCAGATACATGGAAGCTATACCTGATACATGAAATCCCTCACTTGAGAAGAATTAAATGGTAGAAGATAATCAAGGGAAATATTCTGTCTATTTGTTTTGTTCTTGTGCTTCTCTTGGGCATCTGCTTAAAGCCATAGTTACAGTTAGGATTTGGAGACAAAGGGACTTTTTGTCAGACCTGGTACAGCCATTCTGAAATGATTGGTGCTTTTGTACATCCAGACTAGCCGAAATATTACTGCATCTTGGCCCTGGATAAGTCATGGTAAAGGAGTTTGGATCTTCATAGGGAGAGAGACAGAAAAAATAGGGACAAAGGACAAAATCTAAATAGAAGCAGGCTAAAAAATTTCCATAGCTGATAGAATTATTTATGTGTAGCCAGTGTGCTTCTACAATTTAATAAATTTAATTTGTGTGTGTGTGTCTACGCTTGCATAACTTATACCATCTGGTTGCTGCAGCATTCTCTGGGTATCAGTGTAGGTTGTGGTTCCATTGGCATTTCTTGAAGCAACTATGATGGTTTAATTGGATTCTGCCATGAAGAAAGCCAGACTGAAGAACTGATCCTGAACTAAAAGTAACCCAGGAAAATTGAAAGCATCAGTTTTAACCTGATTCTGTTCCTCCATCCAGTTCCCCACTTGGCTGCATACAGGCTTGTCTGAAAGCAAGCACTGACAGCAGTACTGGATTATTTATGTCTGCAATGTTTGTGAAACTGCAGTCTCAGGGAAGTGAGTGTGAAACCACTGGCTTAAACTGTACTGTGTTCATTCCCTGTCACTTTCTCTGTGCAAGGCATTTGAACACTGCATCAGAATTTGGCATATAACATGTCTTTGCAGCCAGTGTGTGAAGGTCATTGTCCAGAGAAAATAGGACTATGCAAGTTAAAGCAGTATATTCCTAATGTGAATCTTATTTCAGTTCCTCCAATTAACTGTTTCAGATGCTTTACATCACTTTGTCTTTCATTTCTATTAGAAGTGAGAACTTGTTCCTAATGTCTTCTTCCTTTTTCCCCAGATAATCTCATCAAAGCCATCCTGTCAGCAACCAAAGATTACCGTCTAACTCCAGCTCTTGACAGGTAAGATGAGACCATTTAGAATAGAAGTGATTATTTTCCATATGTCCTAAATAAATTTTGCTAGATATTTTTGCCAGAAAGTATTGCAAATAAATTTGACTGTGCTTTGGAGGTAGATCAGGAGCTAGAAGCTGAGCCGTTTTTGCAGTTATGGGACCTCTGCTAAGGCAAACATGAGTAGAAAAGAGCATTTACATTTTGAGTATTTCCTAATCTTCTGTTTCAGATGGTGTTACAATATATCCTCTTGTCCCTTTTTCAGATAAGTAAACAGCAGGTTTTCAATAAACACAGTATTCTTTTTCAGCATTTCTGACAAAGCAAAGGATCACAAGAAACACTTAGAAGGGAGAAAGGGACTGACTCATTTTAACAGTGTTTCCCTAATACCTCACTCTTAAAGCAGGATGTGTGATTGTGTTGGCCGAGCGTGTGCCAGGATGAGATTGCAGCTTCCTGGGTCCTGTGATATTTGAATTGGTGCCTTTAGAAGCTCCTTTGATTCTTCAGTCCTGTGGTAGAGGTTACTTCTGAAACTCACTGGCATGTTTACAATCAGCTTCCCAATGATAGTACTTTAGTCTTCCCTGTCCTTGCTTTTTTCTCATTCCTTCCCTTTCCCCTGCAGTTTTGGTTTAGTGCCACTTCACAGATTAGAGGTAGTTTCTTTCAGAAGCTGTCAAAGTTTTTTGCTGGGACGTGGTCTCTTTTCAGAGTCCTAATACCACGTCTTTCTAAGCGGCGGTGCTTGAACCCACGCTAACAACAGAGTTCCTGCTATCTAAACACATCAGGTTTATTTCCTGGCCCAGCCTCTTCTCTTCTGCTCTATTTCTGTGATGAAGTTCATAAGCTTTTCCAGCCTTTCTGTATTTCTCCACATTTCTCACGCTGATTGTAGAGTTTGCCTGCTGTAGTTCGAGTTGGGAGTTAGTCTCTGCGTGAAAGTTTATTCTTAGTGTTTTGCAGTCTGTGTGCTAATTTAGGTTGCTTTGAAGTTTGCCTTGCCTTACAGCAACGCTGGATAGGGTTAGCCTTCAGAGTTTGGATTAGTTTGAGAAATGATGTCCAGAAGGCAAAATCATTTTACAAATGACCTTCTTAGAGATTTTGCACACAACTGAGTCTCACCTATCTGCAATTTATCTCAGTTCTGGTTGGAGAGTTAAGATTTTAATCTGTTGAAAAATCCACATATTTGCTCGTTCAGAAGATTGCTCATGAGAAATCAGTGTTAATGGCAAAGGGTGGGTGGAAGATTCTTGTAGTGAAAGGTTAATGTAATTGTCAGCCTTGCTGCTCACCTGTTTTTTGAAGAGTGGAGTGTTTCAGGTTTCTTAAAAGTTATTTCTCAGGAGGCTGTGAAACACAACCACTCTAGCATGAGCTGCTCACTTTGGTTTTACAATCTTTTTAATGGATTTGGTGGAGAGGTAGGAAAGACCTAAGACTCAAGCCTTCAAAGGACTTTGCATACATCTCATGAAATATCAAGTATGAATGAGACCTAAAGAACAGGCTAGAAATGTATTTCTATAGCAATCCAGTAACCAAGGTTTGGTGGTACATATGCTGAAAAACACATAGATATCTTGGGGAAATACTATTTCTTGGGAGTCTTTGTGATAAATGGAAAGCGGTGGATGTTGGTTATGTAGTACATACACCTCGTGGTCAAATACAGATACCTCCCAGAGCCCTTCCAAGTGAGCAGGTCTTATAACAGATAAAAATCGAAGTTGATGTGGGAGAAAGGGTCAAGAACTGCCTGGAGTAGGAAACCACAAAGTGATAGCCTAAAGCAGTAGATGGATGGAGTTGCAACAGAGGGGTTATTATGAGAGAGAGCTTGGTTACTGTGAGAGGTCTTAGGGCTACCACATTGCTGTTCTTGGAAACCTGCTTGGTAAGTAGGGTGTAGATGAAGACTTGGGTATGCCTCCAGAAATTTTCTTAGTCTTGATCGTCAATAAATAACATTGCTGGCAGTAATGTGTACCTGTTGTTCTGGATTCCAGAAGAGCTGGTGAAGCAGATTGATGAGGGAAGGTTAACCTCTTTCTCATCTTGTCTCAAGCTTGAAGCAGAGCTCAACAGTTCCTCTCTGTGGTAGCTTCATTTTGCTGGGAGCCGTGCCTTGAGGTCTGGCTCACTCCCTTACTGCCTGCTGGTCAAGGAGAAAGTCCAGACCTCTCTCCTTTGCTCACCACCTTGGAGCAACTGGAGAGGGCCTGAATTAAGGGACCTTTGAAGGTCCCTTCCAACCCAAACCATTCTGTAATTGAGAACTGAAAAAAATGCCTTGTGACAGAGTTACAAGAGACACAGCTAAAGTCTCTGAGGTACCATGGGTCAGACTTAGGAGATTTTGTGAACCCTTCCACTTGTAGGCTCTCAGAACTCTAGTGGACTGATTCCAGCAGTAGGGAAAAAGCTCCAGGTTCACCTTCTCTTCAGGGTGGAGTTACACCAACATTTTCTCTGTTGGCAAAGCCAGTCCAAGAAGCTGTATTTGCTGTTGCTACCTGCTCTCAGACTATAGCTTCATACCTTCTCTTTGAGCTGCTGCTATTGTTTGAAGAGGGGCTTAAAAGTGGGTCACTGAAACAATTCCAGTTTTAAAGTTTTTCTCTTAACCCAGGTCATTCCAGTGACCTCTTTGGCAGAGCTCCCCTCCCACTGAAGAGGAGCATTGGCACAGCGCTGGGCCAGCAGCAGCACGAGAGGCAGAGGGCTGGGGATGGGTGGGGAAGGTGAGTGCTGCCAAGCCTACTGAAGCAAGTGTTTATGGAACTGTATGCTGAAAGCAGCTTTCCCAGGGGAAAGGTGAGAGAGGCAAGAGAGGTGAGGTCAGAGCAGTGTGTGAGAGCAAAGGAAGGAAAGAGGAGATTAGCGTTATATGGTGGGGGATCTACACCAAGCCTTTGGTCTTTTCCCCACCCAAGCATCTCCATTTCTATCCTCCTTCACAAGGCTGTCCCTTGAGAGATGTTACCTTTGCTTGCCTCCCATAAGCCCTGAACTTGTTTGACTGAAAGGGCATCCTGATGCACCTTTCCTGACACAGTATACTGACGTGCTGCTGAAATGAGGCAAACCCACTCCTTCCAGGTCTGCATGTGCTTCTCATCATCCCAGAGCAGCTTTGCCAACTTGCTCCAGCTAATCCCTCCATGGTGAGTAGAGTTGTGTTAATAACTTGCAGAAGCTGGAGGGCATGTGAACAAATGCTCACACCTGTAACATGGCATAAGTGATGCTGTGCTTTCTTAATTTTTTTTTATCTTGACTCCTTATGCACCTCTGTGTTCAACTGCTTATAGTAACCTGCTTCTGCTCCAGGGCAGGAGGTAGGAAAAACTGCTGTTGTGTTTGTGAAGGTAGTTGCAACTCAGCTCTGAGCTTTTCTTAGAGCCCTCTTCCTTCAGAGCTGACATGTCTTTCTCCCTAATGCAGGTGTTGGTGGGCCTCATCTTTGATGTTTCAGGATTCTCTTGCCCTCTGTTGTTTTTTTCCAGGCCCATTTATATCATTGACATTTTCACTGCTTGCTTTAGTGGCTACTCCAGTGGCCTGCCCTTCATTCTGCAGATCAGTCAGGGCCTGGTCTCTAGTTCCATGGTTCTTCTGCTGATTACAGTGTGTTTTGGGGTTAAACCTCTGCAGTGATGACCTGTAAATTTCCAGTGAAAAGACATAAACATAACAACCTGACTGACCTTTTTGTATTGCCTCCAGGTGGTAATGAAGGAAAACTGAGCGTTTGACTTATAATCAACACAGTTATTACTAATGCAGTATCTAAAATAAAAAGTGAGGAAGGAATCTGATAGAGCAGGAGATGTGTATCCCCCTGACTCAGGTTGATAGCACTAGTTTAAGTAGCAGCAGCCAGATCAAACAAGAATATGCTAAGCCTCCCTAAGCATCAGTTACCCTAAAGATGTATTTTTTAATTATTCTGTTGTATTTTTTCTCAAAGCCTTTAGTTCCAAAGTTGCATAAAGGAAGGCTTTGTGGTTTTTCTCCCCTGACAAATCCCTAAAGCGCTTTGATAAGAGAGGAAGAGGAAGTAGCAATTGCTACAACACATACATGTGTTCACAGAGCTATATTGTTCAAGAAGATCTGTGTGATTCCTGGGTTTGGCGTAGATTAGTGCAGCCTCTGAGCATCTGTGTCAGGAGGCCGTACATCTGGCTGCAGCTCCCAGCTTAGGGCTTTAAGGAAAGTCTGTCTGGTGTGGAAAGTCCATGACCCTCCTTCATACCACCCTGGTAGCAAACTGAAACCTGGGCTGTGTCCGATGTGTTCAGTCCTTGAGCTCTTCTGAAAAAGAAATAGAGCTTTGACGTACTATGTAAACAAACAGAAAGGTGTTTGCACACTTCTTTGTGAAGAAACAATCGAGCTGTAACTGATGCTGCTTGCACAGTGTGTTTCTTCAGCCAGAAACTTGCCTGGAGCCAGCAGTGACTTTGCAGGTTTCCCATGCTCAGGCACCGTCAGTCAGTGCTGGCTGTGAAGGAGCCCAGCTACACTGGTGCCAAATGCCCAAGTTTCTGGTCAGGATGTGAGGTCAGGTGCCTGACATCCTTGCCAAATGCTTCCCTTTCACTGTGCCATCAGGTTGGCCCTGCAGTATTCTCACTGTCCCATAGTGTGATCGCCAAGCTAGTGAGACCCAGCCAGACCATCTTTCTGACTGTCTTGATCAAAACAGTCCTGACTGCCCAGACTGGATGTAGCAAAAGCCCAAGGCTCACCATATCTTCTGAATACTGACTTCAGAGTACAACAGAAACTTCCCGCTTTGCTCTGGGAGTGCGAAGAGTACTTTTGAAAGATGTTTAAGAAAAATCTGCTAAAAGATCAGAGACCAGACCTTAGTGTCAAGAAGATACTAATGAAAAATATTCTCTGTGGACTTAAGGAAAAATGGGGACACATTTAAATATGTCAGGACATCAAAGGTATAAAAGTGAATATAAGACATGAAGCCAGGCAAAGGTGATGAACCTGTTAGTTATGATGAGTAAAGACCGAACCACTCAGTTAAGTATTTTTTTCATTTTTAGGGGTAAAGATAGAATGATGTTGTCCCATTTTACAGCAATAATTCAATACTTTTTGTATTTTTATTAGTAACTGTGTGGTTTTTAAGTGACAATGATGCATCTTTTTAAATCAGTAAGCACTGAAATACATTTAAATAAAGAATGCTTTTTAAAATTACTGTTTGCTTTTTAACCCTTTGTGGCATGTTGGATACTACAGCAAATGTTGCATCATTCCTGGAAAAAGTCTAAGAGATGACAAAGAGGTGGCTGTAAGTTGCTTAGCTCAGTTTTGCAGGAAAAATCCTGGAAAGATCTAGGCTGGTAGCGTAATTGATCTGAATTGTCTTGGGGTTTGTGGAAATGAAATCTTGTCATGCAGTGAATATATTTTTTAGGTAAACTAGAAGCTTGATTGATAAGGGTAACCTTTTAAAGATAGGCATTAGTTGTCTCAGTCTGTTATTCTGATTCTACACACACCATTGTAGACATATCCTTTTTAGGAATGGGATATGTCACACAGCTTTAAAAAGTTACTGTCAGGGTTGAGATTTAATCCTTTAGTGACACTTCTAATGTAATCCTGCTGGCAGGTGTTAGCAGTGGTTGAAACCAATCTGGAGGACATGTAAAAGTACACTAAGATAATTTACCAGAGCCAAAGACTGGTGGGAAAGTGAGGAGTAGGAGGATAGGGTCAGTCTAGACCTTTTCATAATGCTCTTCTCTGAACAGTCCTTTACTGGAGCCAAATCAAAAGTCAGGCATCTCAGAGGTGACAACACAGATCATGCTTACGAGATGAGGATTGTATTCTGCAAACCAATGACTATAAAAAGACTGTTGGAACCATGTATATAAAATCTCTGTGTAAAAGGGACCTTGCTTTGAGCAGCATTAGCTCCGCATGCTGGTCTTCCAGAGTCAGTGCTTCACAGACCTGTGGGGAAGTTGAAAACAGTTCAGAGAGGTACTGCAAATGTGACTCAAGATCTAGGAGAGCTGCCATCCCGTAAGAGATGTGATGAGCTCGTTCCAGTTTGTATAGTCAAGAAAAAATGAAGAATGAACTTTGAGTCCACAAGTACTGTATGGGAGCAGGGCCATGAAGAGAGGCTGCTGGAACGGCTTTGGCTGGTGGAACTGGTTCTTTTGTCTCATGTGTAGCGCCTCATCCTCACCGGTCTGACCCTGATTACCCACCTAGAAGCAATGTTTACAGACAGTGGTTTGTCGTTAAGTGGATCACATGCAGATGTGGAAGGGACTGCTAACAGTAGATGGTGCTTTAATTTAGCAGAAAAGGGAAGAATGTGATTAAACGGTTTGAGGCTGAAACAAATATATCTGTGTTCAAAGTTGGTAAGAGCTAGCATCCGAACGGTAAGTGGGAAAGGGATAGAGATGAGTGTCTGTAGCTTGCAGCCCTTGGATTTCAGCATGGTATTCTTCAACACGTAAAATTAAGAAAAGTCATGGCTCAGAGAAAACTGGGTAGAGAAATTACAGAAATTTGTTGTTTTAGAAGGCCAAACTTTCTTATTGTAATCCTTGAAAGACCATATTTTGTCTGAAATTTCACATAGCTAGAACTGAACTATGTTTATTTTCCCTCCAGCAGCACCTTTTCCTTAAAGGTTTTAACACAGCTGTTACCATCTTTGTCACTTGGTTGAAATTACTTAGGGCTGACTCTTTCCTTTCTCTTCCCTCCCTGACACAATATACTGCCTGAACCAGATCTTGCCTCTGCTTTCTCCTTGTTGCCAGAACAGTTTGTTTGTTTGTTTGTTTTTCCTGTGCCACTTATAAAGTTCTTTTTTGTGGTTTGATTATTGCAAACTTCTTTGGCCCTTATGTACTAATTAGCACTAGGCTAATACGTCCATCTTCTTGAGGAAGTTTTCTGTTTGGAAAGGTTTGGATCTGCAGTGAAACTTATCTGGGCTGGGAAAGCTGTTCCTGAGTGTTTCTTGGTGCTGTTAATTCTGCCCCTGTCTCCAGCTAATGGCCCTGTCAGCAGGGTAACCCTCGGTGGTTTAGCTGAGTCTTTATGTGCACTCCAGCCCCGCTCTGCAAAGACAGACCCCACATAAGCAGAGCTTTCCTCACGCTGGCTCTTTAGCCTGATCACAGAAAGGACAGCCTAGAAGAGGCCAGTCAGACTAAAAACTGGGACTAGGAAGGCTGCCTAGCCCAGAGATCTGCTCCAAACAACTGATTGCCTTGGACCCTTTCCGAAAAAGGCTCTGCAGACACGTATCCCTTCAGTGAACTACCAGAGATGAAGGCACATTGCCAGAAGAGCCAGCTGCATTTGGGATTAGATGGCTGGAAAGAAGTCCTCTCCCTGTCTTCAAGCCGAAATCACTTTTTAACATCTGCTGCAGAGAGTTCTTGTGACTCACAGTTCCATGAGAAGCCGTTTTCTTCCTTTGGTTTACTGCTTCTTTGTTAATTAAGGTTGTTTTCCTTCCCCTTCCTTGCCCATTGTGTCTCCATATATGCTTCCTACTGGACAGGACTGTGTGGAGGTCCCTTTTCTATCCATTTAGTGTTTTTCTGTTCTTGAAGTCTCATGATAACTGCAGCAATTTTGCACTCAGCAAGGTGAGCACACCCCAGATAACCTGGCAAGATCTGCCTGCACTCAGAAAATTGCTTGGAGAGAGGACTTCCTCACTAAGCCTTTGGTTTATTGTTATTTCAGTGCTAAATGAATAATGAGAAGGTTTAAGTAAACAGATGGATTTGATTCAAGCCCATCATACCAGGGGTGTGGGGAGAGCGGAGCTGCTTGTCCTGACAGCTCATCTCATTAGGGCCTCACATGGTGTGAGGTGTTGAAAGCAGTTTATCACATGTAATGCCTGGGCACGATGGGGTGAACTAGGGATCAAGTGTATCTCTGTCTTCCCCTTAATTCTTAAATTCCAAAAGGTTCCCTGTAGTTCTTAGGCGCAGACAAAGTATGCGCAGGTCGGTGTTTTTGAAGTTATGTTACAAAAACGACCTCTTTCTTCTGTTTCTTCCACAGTCTCAGCTGCCGACGATGTATTATTGTGGGAAATGGTGGAGTACTTGCAAATAAGTCGTTGGGGTTAAAAATCGATGACTATGATGTTGTCGTCAGGTGAGTCTTTGGCATCATGGTTTGCGCGTCATGTATTCGGTTTCTGTATCAGTTCAGTGCCATGCAGGCAGATGTTAAACCTACACTGCTGACAACATCCATTTGTTATTAACTAATATGGAGGGGGAAAAAAACCAAGAGGTTATAAATGTTTGTTATAAATGGTGATCACATCAAATGGTAAAGGCACTCCTCAACCTTTCCATTTTCCATAGATGTTTGGGAAGGTGGTCTCTCTTATGATTTCACTTGAACCTTCTCTCTATAGCTTCTTTGTAAAAGTTGCTGCATTTTTGATGTCCTTATGTGGTGAAGCAGTAAATCATACTGTTAGATCTGCTCCCAGATAAATCCCTTAGGTAGCTCAGGGACGTATTGTTGGTCATACATGTTTAGCATTTCCCAGGACCTACAGCTCACAGCTAGGATTGGAAGAACTAAGAATGGTGCAGCATAGGGTCTTAGGAAGCAGGAAGCCTCTATGACTGAGGTCCCAGTAATGACTAAAGGCCTGTAGGTGCGCCCTAGAAACTGTGAATACTTTGCCTCTGTTTCACTGCGGATGATCATGTTGAATAAGGGAGCAGAAGCAGAGTGGCATGGGATTGGAAAAGGACCACAGTCAGAGTTAGGACTCCTTGCTTTTGCTGAGCACCCAGATCATCACCATCTCAGAATGCTTGAAAAACGTGCTGATATGTGAAATCACAGGTCTAGTCATAACTCCCAGTAATAAATCTGTCAAGTCAGGGAGGTGTTCTGGGTGACTGGAGATTAACAAACATAATACCTGTACTAATGGAGAGTGAGGGAGAGTGAGTGTGTAGGAGGGAGGGGGGTTGTGCCCTAGGGAGATACAGACCTGTTAGTCTGACCTGAAAAAAAATGCAGAGCTTTATAGCAAGTTCTGAATCATGAGTAACAAAATATTATGATGGTAAATAGGAAAAGTGGGATGAACTGAAGTGTAAGTTTACAAAAACTGGTTTAACATAGTCTTAAGTTGTTGAATTTTTTTTTTCCTTAGCAAGATAACTGATTTCATATTAAAGGGAATGTAGCCAATATCACCTCTCTGAACTTTAGTCAACCGTGGGACATGGTGGCAAATAGCAAATTCTTAGCTAAGGTGGAAGAAAGAAAGGGATTAGTAAAAGAATTTAAAGCACAGTGGAGGTATCATTTAGCATGGTCTCCTTTATCTCCCATGTGCTAGTAATGGGCATATAAAGAAAGAATAGAACATACACAGAGTAATAATCCTGAAGAGAAAGACCAAGCAGATCCCCTTCAGACTTTTGTTCTGTGAACAGTTCCCAGCTTCCCTTCCCTGGCAGTGCTCTGGGGGACCAGAACAGGATGAAACTTTTACAGCCCTTCTCCTAGTTCATCCCGCTGTCAACAACAACTGTTAGCAAAGAGCTCTTACTACTCGTCATGGTCTGGGAACTTGCACTTATCTGAGCTGAATTAAAATTTGGTTGTAGCCTTTTCCTTGGGCTCAAACTGTTCAAAAAGTATCAAGAGAACAGTTTCAGTCCATCTGGACTAAGCCACCCACTAAGATTTACATCAGAAAGTCCACTATTTAATTCCCAAATGAAAAGTTCAACCTTATCTCTCCACATCAGTAAATCTAAGTCAGTTTGCAAGCCGAGAGGATAAGAGGGCAGCTAAGCACCTGTGCTGTTTGTGGGATGGATAAAGGAGAGAAAAGTCAACTGTAAAGGTTAAATGAAGCCAGGTGCTTGGATGTGGGACTGAGGAGGTGAGAGCAGACTTCTTAAATGTATCTAACTGCTTCATTTACTCCTATGGAAGCTGGGGAAGTTGCTTCTGCTATAACATCCTTTTTCACGGTTGCAAAACTCCTTTGAAGGATCAGATTTGAGGCCCAGGAGGTGAATTTTAAGGGGGGAAATGTGGTACATTTGTGGACAAAGGAGTGATCAGCAGTACATGGAGTTTTCTGATGCCTTGTGTTACCATGTGAAGATCACTATTGCAGAAAGAAATTTTGATCTTGTGAAGAGAGTCAGATCAGCTTTACAGTTCTAAACCAGCTTGGAGTTAGTGTTTTTCTTTAACTGGATATTATCAGATTGCAGCACAGACATTATTCCCAGCTGTCACACTGTTTACCTGGCAGGAGCTTCTTGCAGCAGTCACCACTGCTCTCAAATACCTCTGTAGAATAGATTTCAGACAGGGGAAAAACAAGTATGTATCAGAAATTCCTGGTTAAAATGAGATAGAGATTCACCTGATGATGATACTTTAGTGATATTTGAGAGGGTCTTCATGGTGCCAAGGTTAGGAGTTAGTGTCTCCAAGCTCCCTATGTTGTCAGCAGACACAGACAGAAAAACACTGTGGAACCTCTTTTGGAGAAAACTGCCTGTCCATGGGCAGTACAAGGAGGCCTGGCATCCTAACTGAGGTTTTCTAAGATTTAGCTGTGTTTATAACCACCAGTGTGTCCTGCCTGAAAAGGGGTTCAAGCTGTGTAGTATGCACCTTTGTGAGGACAGGTTGTGGCTGCCAGAACTTTTCCTGCTCCATCGGCTGTACTGCCCCTGGGGCACTGACCATGGGGCTGACGGTGCTGGCTCCTTAGCAGGATTCTGTCAGCAACTCGCACTCTGGCCCTTTGCTGGAGGCACGAGTTCATTTTACTTGAAGAAATGGTTTGTTTTCTTTCCTGTCTAGATACAAGTAGGGGTCTGAAGTTTGGGGAGCGTTAACAAGGTAAGCAGCAAAACAGTGAATCCAGCAGCTGGGGCTGGGGAAAACCCTGCTGAAGAGCCACACACTGACATTTGAAACGACTACATACACTAACCCTCCCCTCAACTTCAAATAGATAGCTAAAAATATGTATAACTAGCTTTCTTTACATAGTACTTTGTTATATTTTCTGTTAGAGCTACATGCTCTCTGTAGGATCATCTACCAAGAGACACAATGCCCTTAAGTTTACACAATGCCCATAGCAAAAGTGAACTATGTGTGAGCAACAGTAAAAAGCAAGGGATCAGGCTGGCTGGGAGAACTGTATTTGCAGGCGGTTGGATCTAGGTACCCCGAAGTCAGGGTACAAAGCAAAGGCTTATAAGCCACAAAAAAGGGCTTAATCTCCTGTATATAGTATGGTGGTGCCTGTTCTTAATTTTTTTTTCCTTTAAGATTTTATTCCTAATGATAAAGTATTTTTACTAAAAATACATAGGAATTGTTTCGCCTTAATTCTGAATAGAATTTCAGATTTTATACAGAGATTTTCTTCTACTAAAAGGTTTCCCACCTAAAATGCTTACCCGAGCTGAAAAAGACAAATCCAGATCCTCATTAACATTCCTACACGGCAAAATTTGCACTCCATAAGCACTTTATAGTATATTGAACTACCCCAAGTCAAGAAGTCTGCAATAATTCAAGCAGGCAATGCTGTTCCATAAAGGGCTGCTGTTTGATGTCAGCAAGATTTGTATTCCAAGTTACTTCAAATTTCCTCAGCTTTGGGTTTCTAGTTTTGACTAGAAGTTCTGAATAACTTGAATGTCATGTAAGTCATCTTTGCTGATAGTGCCAGAGCAGTTTGTTTTTTGAAGGGAGAAAACTTTATCCCTGAGTTGTGTTTCAACAAAAGCACAGCTAAATACATAGCATTCCCTTAGAAATCACTGTGTCCAAGAGCAAAGCTGTGTGTCTGCTTGAGTGTTTTTAGAGCATGATGCACTTCCACAGCAGAAGCTCCTCCAAGTCAGTGAGGGCACAGTGCTGCTGAGCCTTACCCCAGCGGCACAGCCCAGCCTCTTCCTTTGTGTTGGCATTGCAGGGCAGCTCGCCTTCTGGAGGGGCCAGCTTGGGGAAATAAACCAGGTGGAGATTGTTCCTTTGAGTTTGGTTTTGGTGGTTTGTGATTTTTTTTTTTTTAATTATTAGCTGGCTTCGTTCCCTAAACAATCTCACTGCAGATAAGATGAGCAATGTAAACTCTGGACGTGGCTTGGAGCATGAGACCAGTTTCAGTTCACTTAAACTGCCATGGAGCTGCATCCTTTCTGTTTCAGCCCAGTCTTACAGAATCCAAGTAAGATATGCCAGGAGCGATGGGATCTTAAAATGTTAATGCTTAGTTTATAACGCTAAATTTGCAAGGACAATATTTTTCAGTTTCCTTTTCCAAAGCTTCCAACCCAATTTAAATGAAAAGACTGGATATGCAGAAATAATTTGCATTGCATTCAATGAAATAATTTAAATAGCTTCTAATTAAACTGTTGCTACTTGGTAAAAAGCTTCATGAATGTTTGTGGTGAAGAACTTCAGGAGTTAAGGTTTGCTGCTCTTAACAGCTGCGTGCAGGGAGCATTTTGCCTGGCAATGATTGCTGTATCGTGCATGAGTGTAAGTAGGAATCTATGACAGGGTTTTCTCTGGTTGCCCTGCAGGCTGAACTCGGCTCCAGTGAAGGGCTTTGAAAAAGATGTGGGTGGCAAGACAACTCTCCGGATCACATATCCTGAAGGTGCAATCCAGAAAATGGAGCAGTATGAGAAGGATTCCCTGTTTGTTCTGGCGGGATTCAAATGGCAGGATTTCAAGTGGCTGAAGTACATTGTTTACAAGGAGAAAGTGGTAAGAAGATTGTCAGCTGACATTGTGAAGGCCAGATAATTAGCAACGGTGGGCAGAGATGATATCACAGCCATATTTGCCACATTTTGGTCTGAGGAGAGTTCCTCTGTGTCCTGCTGCTTTTAAGTGAAGGCTTTTATTGCCTCCACGGGCTTCAGCTTTAATTTAGTACATTTTACAAAGACATCTCTCTGTAACCTGACCTTGCAACACAGATGAGGTTTTCTATTCAGGATTATGTTAGTGTGTACTATGAGAATTAATTTAGTTTTTCTTTATTTTAAAGAGTGTATGAAAGGACCATCTCTTGCATGGATTTTATGGACTCTTGGGATTTAAAAGCAGAGGAGGGAAAAGAGCAATGGCAAGGGGAAGAAATGGGAGTTTAGGGATAAGGAGGTGGTGGCACAGGAGGGGAGGAGGAGAGAGCAAGAGCACAACTTGTTGAAAAGGCTATAGTACACAGACTTAACATGGCCTCCTGAACAGCACAAGCCGTTATATTTTGCCCACTTATTGCTGTGCTAAGCATTCATGATTTAAGTTTGGCTAAAGAATCACCCAGAAGGATAGTGTCAAGTCTAATTTTAAAACACTGAAACGGTGAATCCACCATGTTCCCCGCGTAAATATTTTCTCAATCAGGTTGCAATAGTGCCCTTCTGAAGTACCACAGAACTGTTACTAGTCAGGGTCATTCTCAGTAATTCACTCATCATAAATGGAATCAGGTTGTAATCAATGACTTTTCATTCAGTGGATGGTTTGTCTTTATCTGTTGTCACAAAATCTGGAATAAATATTCTCTATTTAGGTGTAGTTCTCATTCTACCTATCTTATATACATGTTTTCAAGTGTTCTTTAATTGTTTTAGAACAGCCAGATAAACAGATTAATATTCAGAGGATAAGATGTTATATCATGTGTTTAGAGGCAGAGAGAGGAGGTTGGCAGCTTACCGTATACAGAATGAAACAGCCTGGGAATATAATTGTATACAGATGTTACACAGATAGCCTTAAGGGCTTATCCTTTGCTCTTGTCTCACACTGGCACCAACTTGCAATTATTTTCCTGGTACCAGACGGATGAAGTTACCTGTCAGCCTCTGGGCAAGTACAAGTGGGCTTTCATAACATGAATAATTGAGTCAAAAGTAATGTTCTTTGGTTTATGTCACGCTCTTGTTCTTCATTCTGGGCAAGGGAAAGCCATGTCAGTGCCCTGCAACCTGAATGCAGCTGTAGGGACTCCTACTGTTTAGGCTGAAGTTCAAAGGATGGATTGGTTTACTTCAAAACAAATTGAATTTGTTTTCACCTGATGCTTGCAGTCATCACTAGATTCCAGTGTGGTATTCCCTGCTCTTGGAAAGATTAACTGAATAATGTGTTATAATTTGCTAGAAGACTGGGGAAGGCGATCGAAATACTCTTTTAACTGAGTCTTTCAGTGCCAGCTTTCTGCTAGCTGAGTCTTTCTGCCAGCTTGGCAGAAAGAACTTGAGCTTCTTCCACAGCATGTTACTTCAGTGCTATTGTGGTTGCCTCCTTATTTTTGATTTCTTTGGAATAAACGTTCCTCTTTTTTTCAGTTCGCATAGGTGATGTTTTCCATATCTCTTATTTCTGCTTCCTCTTTTGAATGCCTGCAGTTGTTTCATCTTTTTCTCAAAGAGCAGTGCCCAGAAGTGTACACAGTACAGCAAATAGAGAGGAGCAAACAGCATCTTCACTAGCCTCGTAGTTCTCATTCTTTATAGATCCACTGTTTGGACTGCCTTCTCCACAGTGGCGCAGTGCTGAGGTGAGTCTCCAGTTCCTTGAGACTCCAGGTCTCAGGAAGAACTGAAGAGCAGCTGCCTTCCGAGCTTCACACCCTGTGCTTGTGCCATTGGCTCTTGCTGCCAAAGAGCAGCACCGTGCACTTGTCCCTACTGATTCTTTCTTCCAGAACGCTTCTCCAATTTGCCAAGTTCCATTGGCAGAGCTCTATAGCATACGTGCCATTCTTTCCAGATTTGAGTCTTCTGCAATTTAATAAACATACTGTTTACTCCATCATAATGGTTCATAATGAAAACATGAAACAAAGTTGGTTCCTAGGCAGACCCCAGAGTAATAACATCCTTCTATTTCTACAGTGAGCCCACTGAGAACTCCTCCTGGATAGTTTTTTGGCGAATTCTGAACTTGTATCACAGTAGTGTCATTAATAACATTTTTTGGCATGTTCGTGAAAGTGATATATCAGAAGCCTTACTGAATTCCAGTTCATGTCTGTCTTCTCTGCTGTGATACTTTTCTTTTCCTATATAAAGAAATGGTTTTTTTCAATAGTGAGTCTTTTTTGACAAATCCCCTTGGATTGCTGCTCAGTCTTTATTATTTTTTTTTTCAGATGCTTACAGATAATTAATCTTGCTATTCTGAGAATAACTGTCTTCCCTTTTTCTTGTCTTCTTAAGGCTGACCACTACTTTTGTCCATTTTTCAGTCCTTTGGCACCCTACCTGTTCTACCCAAGTTCCTGAAGGGAATCATTGTTGGGTTTTGAGGCTGCTGAGCCAGTTCACTGAATACTTTAGGATGCAGTCCAGGTGACTGGAAAACATCTGTCTTGTCCTCCCTAGTCTGATCTCTCTCTATTTGAGGCTGAGATCTTGCTGTCACTGGCTTTAGCTACAAGCAGGTGGCCAGCACAGCTGCTTCTTCTGTTGGAAACCAATGCAAGAAGTGCTGTTTCTTAGAAGAAACGACACGACGGAGAATGAACAGTGCTATGGGAATAAGATGTAAGCATCTGTTTGTTCTGGTAGTGAGTGTTAGTATTTTTATCAGTGTGTGGTAAGTTCAAAAGGACAAGTGCCTGCCCGGTGCTCTCTGTGGAGAGTTTGTCTTTCTCTCCCAGCTGATTTGCCAGAGAAAGGGAGTTTTCTTCCTTTCCTGGATTCATCTAGAGGCACTTGCTTGACCTAGGAGCTCTTTATGACTCCGTTGCTTATTCCTTATGTGACATTAGGCCTGTGCCTCTGCAAGACTTTATTCTTGCTGCAAACCAGTGGTTACAATCAGAAGCTTGACCTCAGGACAGAGATAAGGGAAATGGAAGCATCCTGCTAAAGAACATGACTGCTGTGGGAGTGGACACATTCTTCAAAAAAATGCATCGAATGTTCATGGCAACTGCCTATGTCCATGTTACAGTTACGGGTGGGGTATGAGAGTTTCTGAATTCCTTCAGATGGTGGACCTGGAGCTGCTTGGGCCTGCTTGAGTAGAGATTCTGGGCCAGGTCCTTGCTTAGTCCTCTCTTGATTAAGTGGAATCAAAGAGAGTTTATCTGAGAGTAAAAGGAAGGCGAATGGCTATTTATTGCTGGGGTCAGTGATCAGATAGGCTTATTTTATTCTCCCTGCAGCTGAGAGGGATTTGCTCTGTGTTATGTTAGTCTTTTGGCAGCACTTGCATACTGAGGAAAGGATAAGTGCTTTGTAGAGAGGAGGATTTTCAGGAGATATTATAAAGAAAAAAAGTGTGATGCAGAAGCAGCAGCAGAATGGTGTGGCAGAGGATTTGATGTGTGACATGCAGTCTGGTGCAGCAGCCTTCTGGAGATCTGCGTGATGCCTCAGTGCCCTGGGAAGCACTGTATGCAGAGAGAGGAGCAGTGGTGTATGGACCAAAATAAAAGTAAAAGCTCAGCTGCTTTTTATTTTGCACTAAAAGAGAAATACCTAGAAACAAATAAAAACTTGAGAGAAAAGATTCATCTGGTAAAAGGACAAGTTTGGCTTAAATATTCAACATCAGCAGCAAACCAAAGGTAGTCTCCCATCACAGAGTTCTGGGTGAGCTGGCGTTCAGCAAGTTAGGGCAGTACTATCACTGGAGGGTATAGACCTGTCTTTAAGAAGGGGAAAAGTGGGTGAACCTGAGCAACTAAACCCTGGTAATCTGATTTCAGTCGTTTGACTAGCATTAGAATAAACTGAAGGAGAAATTTTCACTTGCTGCAAGTAAATGGGGGAAAAGGAGTGTGGGATGGAGAAGGGTGACATGGTTAGCAGAGGGGAGCATTGCACCATGCTGACCTAACATGTCAATGTGCAAGTGGAAAGGAAACGGGCTGGAATCCCCCAGCCCTCCTCGCGTGAACCCAAGAGTATTGCCAGAGGGCCACGGGCGTGGGTTGTTTGTGCGTCTGTGGTGACTGGGCTGCCAGAGCTGACCCGCAGTCCTTGCTGCAAGGGCCTGCTGACACTTCCAGGCACCCCTCCTCTGATGAAACGGCTGCTGCTGGTGTATCCCCAGAGAGGGATTACTCATGGATGGTCACTCAGAACACTTACGCTCTCTCCTGGACCGTTCTTATTGCCAAGAGATGGTACCAGTGTGTATTGCGATCCTGCATGCCTGCTTCCCACTACTGTACGTCATCCTGGGTCTTGCGGTGACAGAAGCTCTTCCTGAATACCCAAAATACCAGAGGAATTTTAGGGGGAGTGATGTTTATCCATATACTGCTCTTCTCTGTTAAAACAGTTTCCAAAAGCTGGAGGCTTCTCTACTGCATGGAGAGTAGATGCTTCCTGAAACAGAGGAATTTACAAGTGCCAATTACGCAAACCAACCATCACAGCCTAGTGCCAAGTCTGATTCCAGGGTGGGTTTTTGCCTGTCATTAGTGAATCAGAAGGAGCTGTCTTGCTTGCTGGGGCTCCCTTCCCTGAACATCTGGCACATGGTAGTACAGCAGCCAAGTGAGGGCAAAGGTTTCACTAGCAATTGGCAGCTCAGAGGCTTCCTTCTCATGTAGTAATGAGCCTGCAGACGCTTCCAGCAGGAATCTCTGCAGCCCTTGTCAGGAGGAGTCACTTGTGTAGTAACTGCCTGCAGCACCTTGAAGCTCTCTTTGATAGTGAAAGTCACAGGAGCGAGTGAGCACCTGCCTGCGAGCGAGGCCAAGTTTGGATGTCTGTCCCTTGCAGGGGCATGCC